ATAAGCTTATTATTTCATTTAAGTTTTAAGTAAAAACTACGTTTTACCGAAGACGGAAGATATAACGGAATCAGAGTCATGCCTAAACAGTTGATCATCACATCGATGAACTTCACAAGGAACTGATTGAGTGACTTCGATCGGGATCGTTTGTGTATTAAGGCACAATTCTTCATCTATACTTCCACTGTACTCTTGTTGCATATTATTGTGATGTTTTCAGGCACCTGTTGGGTAGACCAATAAGCTAGGAGTTGGGTAGACCAATAAGTTAGGTGAATCTGGGTTGACCAATAAGTTAGGTGAAGCTGGGTAGACCAATAAGTTAGGTGAAGCTGGGTAGACCAATAAGTTAGGTGAAGCTGGGTAGACCAATAAGTTAGCTGGGTAGACCAATAAGTTGGGTGAAGCTGGATAGACCAATAAGTTAGGTGAAGCTGGGTAGACCAATAGGTTAGGTGAAGTCGGGTAAACCTACTATAAGTTAGGTGAAGCTGGTAGACCAATAGGTTAGGTGAAGCTGGGTAGACCAATAGGTTAGGTGAAGCTGGGTAGACCAATAGGTTAGGTGAAGTCGGGTAAACCTATAAGTTATGTGAAGCTGGGTAGACCAATAAGTTATGTGAAGCTGGGTAGACCAATGGGTTAGGTGAAGCTGGGTTGACCGATAGGTTAGGTGAAGTCGGGTAAACCAACAAGTTAGGTGAAGCTGGGTAGACCAATAGGTTAGGTGGAGTCGGGTAAACCAATAAGTTTGGTGAAGCTGGGTAGACCAATAGGTTAGGTGAAGCTGGGTAGACCAATAGGTTAGGTGAAGCTGGGTAGACCAATAGGTTAGGTGAAGCTGGGTAAACCAACAAGTTAGGTGAAGCTGGGTAGACCAATAGGTTAGATGAAGTCGGGTAAACCAATAAGTTAGGTGATGCTGGGCAGACCAATGAGTTAGGTGAAGCTGGGTAGACCAATAGGTTAGGTGAAGCTAGGTAGACCAATAGGTTAGGTGAAATTGGGTAAACCAATAAGTAAGGTGAAGCTGGGTAGACCAATAGGTCGCTGAAGCCTTGCTCGGGCGTAAGCCGTGCAAGAATGTGTGACGGACTCACCGCCCGAGGTTCCAATTGAGGGATTGGGTCAAGTTCAGGGGAAAAAGATCTGAGATTCTGTCGAAGTTTTTTACTGTTAATATAAGGTCAACTTCTGATGAATGAAAGCGCAAGCTTCTTTATGGTTAAGAAAACGTTTCCCATTAAATATCCCGTCGCCATTACTGATCACAATGAAAAGTATTTACAGTAGAAGTGGTCATGCAATGTACAAGATCCTACGTGGTACGTGTCTACCGTTGTTACGCCGGCCAGTTTTTTGGTTGTGGTTTGACCTGAAGTTTTTGTCTACTTCAATGAACTTCAGTCAAACTAGGCGAGGTAAACGAAAGTTGTTCGGTTGTCTGACCAGCGCACGTGGAGTGAGACAGTAAAACATCTACAGTGAATGTCACGCATTAGTTTGACGTTCAAGCTTGATTGTTTTGCAAGTGCAGGAGAATCATAAACATACGTTTAGATTATTCATGAAAACCCCCAAAAATTTTCATAATTAATAATTTAAGTATTATCTTTTGATTTATTGTTTACAATACGTCTACATCGAAATGCAAGCTGTTGTTCTGACCATTCGTATTGACCAGTTCGCTCCGATATTGTGTACAGCTTTATGGTTCTGCTTCGTCATGTTGCTTTTAACAAGCGGATGATTTCTTGCGAAATCATTTTATTCTTTCGCGGGTCAGTGTCAAACTGCACCTCGAATTTCGTTCAGGAGCGATGGCTGTGACAAACATCTTGGTCTACAACTGCTCATGTAAATGGAGAGCCTTGAACGTGTTTATGAGAATGGATGCGAAATTGACGATGCATACGTGTTAGTTTGCAAGCATGAGTCGCATGTTCATATTGAACGCCATCTGCTATATTATAAACAATCAGCGCTTTGTATTGGTAGAAAATTCAAGATAGTATATATTCTATTGTAATACTTGACTAGCATTGACGATCGAAATAAAAATACAATTTGTAGGGAGAGGCGAGTGACGTGAGTGTACCGCATCAGTAACACTCTTCGCAACACTTCCAGAACCTTCATTGGAGCCTATGCATACCTCCAAGATATAATGCATTAAACTGAATGCGTGCTTATAAGTGAAAGTTGATTCTGAATACGACAATGCCAGAGCGTGAATGCCGTCATAAATAGTCGAACATTTGTGAAGGCTTTCAGCCGTAACTTATTTACGGAGACGTCTTCTGTGACGTTTGAACGCAAATTGTTTACTGGACTCCGCCCCCATGGCATAATGTGACCTCGTGCCGAGATGTGCCGGGTCTCTCCATTGGTATTTAAGGGCAAGAAAGTTCCTGTTGTCGCGTGGGAGGGAAACAACACGTTACCTTATAAAGACTTGTTTCTCATATCCACGTGCTAGTGAGGTATTCATGGTCGTCCTATTATGATGCATGAAGGCAGGCTCACGGAGTCAACATACTTGCTATTTTAAAATATTTTTAGAACGTAAGTTGAAGAATACAATGAAACGCCCGCAATGCTTGAATATATCCCTCCATGACGAACACAAAGAACACTTATTATTTAACTGTATTTTTTTGTAAACAAAGAGGTCTGTGAGGAAATGAACGTTGTACGAGCCATCGGCCACTGGAGTGCTTTTGCGTGTGCAGGTTGGGATTCGTAGTCGCGCAGTGAAAGTATTTCCCTGCGAGCGTATTTATCCCAGCACCGCAGCAGTCCTATTCTGTGTTGCCGGTTGCGTCACTCTACACGCATACTCGTGACGTCATCTCACATCCTGAGACCTCTTCTGCTCCTCCTGCTGCTTATCACTTAACTTTGCCACCAGATTTGTAGCGGATGTATATAGATTAAATGCGTTCATTGCAAGCCTCGTACCTACCCAATAAACGTCGTGCTCGTCTGGTGTTATATTTGCCTTGATTTCTTCTCAGTGAGCCACGTGGAAGTGTGCGCAGTCCTGAGTTATTGCGTCGAAATTTTTTGATTGAATCAGGGACGGGCCTCTGTAGTTTCCGTCTGCCCATGGGTTCAATAAAAAACTTGTCGTTGACCATGGGACATCAGATTGTGGTAATCGGCTATAGTGTTGAATCATGGCTCTATCGTATTGCATTTAATGTAATTTTTTATGCCATTCTTCGTCGGCTATTATCATTGCTGCATGTCATCCTAATCATTAAATTTGTTCTAGCGAAACTGAAGTTGAAATGTTTAGCGAGGCTCGCTATTAATTTACAGCCAACGATCGCAATTTAGTGGCACCAGACATTGCCACGTGTGTAGACCGTATGGCGAGTCGAGGGCTGTGCTTTTAATGAAAGCAATTGATGACCAGGAGCAAGCGATACTCGGTCTCTATCGTGTAGGATTGAGAGTGCTTCTTATTATGTTTTATTGTATTATTTTTAATTATTTCTTGTTATTGAGGTGGCCGCTCAATCTTGCTTGCGCTGGTCGCTTAAGTTGTTTCCTCATTTGCGCCTTGCATCTACACTGGGCGGCATTCTTCCTCATGATAGCGACATAGTGTCGTCATGTTCAGCATGGTTTAGCGCGTGTGAGAGCCGCTAGAGAATTATGTAGAATTTACTTGAACGCTAAGTATTTTGTACGAATGTCCTTGAAATGGTATGTAAATATATTCGTGGGCCCTTTACAGTCTAATTGGAATTAATAAGTTCGACATCTTTAGTCGCAATCATGATATTAAATTAATGTCTACGAATTTTAAAATCACTTTCAAATGTTGGTGCACTTATTAAAGAACGATTGCCGCAGAGTTTTTGAGCTTCTGTCACTGCAAATGTTCAAGCACACAACATTATGAAGGTTCAGAAAATATCCGGAGGAAATGCCTGTGTTGTGGAGGCTTTTTTTATTGTCCCAGCTGAATTCGAGATAAAGCTCATCGATAAGAAGGCGGCTTCTTTGCTTGAATATTTCCTGATACGCACCACACCTGAAAATCATGTAGGTCATAAGTGCCTCGTCTTACACCAGGTCCATGATTATAACACGTCACGCATTATCACTTAAATCTTATAGTATTATCATGCCACACTAACCTGTGTTGATCTCTAACTGAATCGAATTCATGTTGCATGAGTTGGATGCACTCAAGTGTTCGTAGAGACTTGTATTATCTAGAACTCTGAATTACGGATAGCAATGGAAGTGACAGGGTAGTGGGTAAATTTGTTTACAAACACAGCTGTTTTTCTCCTGCTAGTTAAATTATCGGGACAAACCTGAGACGTGTGCAGCAAAATATCAGATACTTGTGTACATGTGTACATGTATATCGCGACATCATGAGCGCCACAGCTTTGTGCGGCTGCTTATCAGCTCATCGATAGTAGAACGAGACAAAGCACTCATGACGGAGGTCCTGTACTCATGACGGAGGTCCTGTACTCATGACGGAGGTCCTGTACTCATGGCGGAGGTCCTGTACTCATGACGGAGGTTATGAGACATTGTGTTATCTGCAGGAGACAATGTGTCAAATATATGCAAGCTTCTCTCTAGCTCAGCAGTGTTGATACTTAACGCTCGAAGTACCCAAGGCATCGGGCAGAATTTTTTGTTGGAGGCGTAAACAAAGAAAACTCTTAGTAAATTCCGGCAGCGAAATTCATCTGCAGCCCCTAAATATTTACCTCGATCCTCCCTAGTTGGTAGAAATTGTCACGATAACATCGGTCGTGTCCCTTTGTGGATAATTTACTATATAATATACGCAGTAAAATCGTGTCCAATCATACGAGTTCAACGCGGTATCTTGTTATGAACGATTTTCTCCTACTTTGAGTAGTTTCGCATGTCCAAGTTCATAGCAAATTACTGAACGTTGCCATCAGAATATCTTCATCTTAACGCCTTATTCTGACGCCGATATCACGTTCCCCCAGGACTACGTGCCGCTGTTCGTAGGCTTCGAGAGTTTCTATTTCCGCAACGTGTACCGCCCCATCAGCGACTGCTTCTGCCGCCCCATCTGCGGCGTGCCTGGCGAGCGCATGACCGTCCTCGAGCGCACCTCCCACAACAACAACTGGGACCATGTGTACGTGGCACCGTGTCATTATCATTATTATCGTGTCATGCTTGCCAACTTATCATGAAATTTAGATATTTCATGAAGTGTAAAATTCAAGTTTGAAGCTTTTTTTGGAGCTTAAGTTTTTGTTCGTTTCTGGACTGCTTCAGATTTTGACGCCAAATTCATATTGGATGTAATTTTTAACGTTTTTAATTTCAATTTCAAATTCGAATAGTTCATAACAAAAACTTATGTTCAATAAAATTGATTTTTTCCATCTCTTAAAAATTATTCTCAGTTTTGGCATAAAGTAATTTTGTTTTGAATAGGAATATATTTAAAATTGCTACTGTTATTGGTTGCGTATAGGTATTCTTCAAGTTTCCTTGTTCCACGTGTGCCTTTTTTTCTGCTTGCACAATATACAAAAATTATTCATTTTTGTATTTCTGTGCACAATATTCATTAATAGAAAAATTTTTTTTCGTACTGAAATGTTCTCGACGTACTTCAGTATTGGCAGGAAATTAATTTACTTGTGCGCATATTGCACAGTCTGACTGGCCGCAAGATCGACTCAATCAACGTGGGGTCGTACAACTACTTAGGTTTCGCTGAAAAGACCGGCCCCTGCCACGACGCTGCCGCCCGGGCCATCTCATCCCTCGGTGTCGCCGTCGCTAGTGCCAGGACCGAGATGGGTGAGCTGGGTATACGGATGGGTGAACTGGGCGGTGGGCATACGGATGGGTGAACTGGGCGGTGGGCATACGGATAGGTGAGCTGGGCAGTGGGCATACGGATGGGTGAGCTGGGAAAAGGGGTTGGGTCAACTGAACAATTAAGATGGCTGAATGGCGGCGAAAAGTACTCTTCATCAATATTAAGCGATCAATGCCCACTGAAGTAGGTGTAATTAGCATTTGCCGACGCTGTAACTGTTTTTTATAAAGCCATTCAGGCAACAATTCATTGTATACACTTCTCCTAAAAATATATAAACTTTTCATGACTGGCTTGCAGGTACTCTGGAGATCCATCACGAGCTGGAGGCGCTGACGGCGGAGTTCGTGGGCACGGAGGACGCCATCACATTCGGCATGGGCTTCGCCACGAACGCCCTGAACCTGCCGTCCCTCATGGGCCCAGGCTGCCTCGTGCTCAGCGACGAGTGCAACCACGCCAGCCTCATCCTCGGCCTCAGGCTCTCCGGTGCCACTGTCAAGGTAACACATTACAGTAATATAAGTCTACCTCTTGTTTTTTGAGTGCTGCATACAGAACATGTCAGTTCTGACAGCTAATGTTTTTTACTCTTCTATAGTAGTTGTTCTTCAGTTCGGATGGTATGCCGATGTGGAATAGGGATGCTGTTGGCAATGTACGTATTGTTTGGAAGTAATGCTGTAGGGAATGCGTTATCTACTGATGACGATCGCAGTTGGCAACAATAAACTAGCAATAACTATGCAGCAATAAACAAGCACTAACCACGCCCGCCGCCCTCCAGGTATTCCGCCACAACGACTGCAATGACCTGGAGCGTCGCATTCGGCGAGCCATCATCGACGGCCACCCGCGCACTCGACGGCCCTGGAAGAAAGTCTTCATTATTGTTGAGGGCATTTACAGCATGGAGGGCTCCATCTGCAACCTGCCCCGCCTCATCGAAATCAAGAAGAAATACAAGGTGGGACTCACTGCCACCCAAAACTCATAGACGGTCGTGTTCAGTTTAGTAGAGGATGCCATCATCAATACTGAGCAGTGATTTCACCTAACAACGAGTATTGAGTTTTTTTGAAGTCATATTTAATGTATAATTGATCCTGAATTGATCCTGTATAATATCTGTTATCTGGCAATATTGTATTGTTAATTTATCTACCGTCATCCCGTTACGTTTCCAACGTAAAGATTTAATCTTGCTTTCCTCTGGATATCTTATTTATTCTTGAAGTTTCATCAACTATAAGTTAAACATAACCTCGGTTGTACTGCCGTACTCGCGAACTATCACAACCTATACAAACAACCTATCACAACTATCAAGTCACGTCTCACTGTCCCATGCCCCGCGCAGGCGTACCTTTACGTTGATGAGGCGCACAGCATCGGGGCGCTGGGGCCCCGAGGACGCGGCGTGGTCGACTACCACAACTGCGACCCCAAGGACGTCGACATCCTCATGGGCACCTTCACCAAGAGCTTCGCCGCTGCCGGGGGCTACATCGCCGGCTCCAAGGTCTCGTCAATACGAAAGGCTACCGAGCAAACAGTTCTAAATTAGTTTCATCTTTCAAAGCTCTGCAGTTGGTACCCGGCGAAAAATACTGGCGTTTGGGAAGAAATTCGTCGAGAAAATATATACGGTTTATAAAATTTATTTTGAATCACAGGTCTTAAGAGTAACTGGGAAATTCACTGAAGAACCTGCGTCGAACATCAAGTTTTAGTCGAACTCAAATTTGATGACAAAAGTTAACACATGAATAAGATGTCCTGCAGCCAGTCGAAGTTCAACATCGAGAAGAGTTTTTCAGATACGAACGCAATGTTGAGAGATAACAAAATGTACGCCTACGCCAACACTCAAGTTACCGCACAACAAAACTTAATTAAATGTTTTTTCCTCGTAGCCTAGTTGTATCGCGAGTTAATTTATGTGTGGTATTTTCCGTAGTATTCTGGCCGATCTACAAATTATTTAATTTATATATAATATAATTTTCCTTTTTTTTTAATTTCAAGCAGATCCTGTTTATGGTACAGGATCTGCTTCAGCAGCGGTACAATACAATTCATTGTCAACATTAATCTTCGTTAAACTTACATCCTTATTTTGTAACTTCCTATATTTTGTATCGGAAATGATGTGCACGTTATTAATTGTGTGTTGTCGCGCAGGCGCTGATCCAGCACCTGCGCATGAGCTCTGACGCGCAGCACTACGCCAGCGCCATGGCGCCCGCCGTCGCCCAGCAGATCATCACCTCCATGAGCATCATCATGGGCAAGGACGGCACCGATGAGGGTAGGTTCCTTACTTCAACTGGGCATTACTGCATCATTTGTGTCACTGAATCTTGCGTGAAATCTTTTCTTATTCGAGACAAATACACTGAACGTTGTCTTCTAATGTTTTACATGAACATTAGTTCTTTTCATGAACTTGATCGCTCTAATTGCCGATTATATAATTGAGTTTGTACTCATCAAGAGTTTCACTGATCTTAGATCGCATTGAATTTCTTAAGTTCGTCGGTCGTTAATATTATTCATGTCTTTTATAATGGCCTCTTGTGGTTGGTTTGATGACATATGTTTGTATGTCTTGTTTTGGTCGCGATGTTGAATGTTACGAGAGGTTTTGTTTTATCTGCTGACCTTCCGGACGGAAGTGGCAATGTTAGGATGGAAGTTAGCTGACGCTGGGAAGTATTAACCGTCTTGTAAGTTCTCTTCCCAGCCAATATAAATCTTCTTCTCCAATATAAATCTTCTTCTTCTTCTTATAAATCTTCTTGTTCTCCAAGTCTTTTCGATTTAATTAAAGAGACAGAAAATATTCTTCGTGGTTTTCTACTGCAAAAAAGCCCCTAGTAGACTCGTGCAGAAATATAAGTACAAGATGACAATAACAAAACGCTACTTGCACAGATGCTGCCTCTGTACCTTAATGCCTGGTGAGCGACGATCTCACTTTAATGGCTTCTATATTTACGGCGGTGTCTACATTTGGTCAATATCTACGAATTTAATTATTTGTTGTTCTAATTCACGACTTATTTTATACCAACTCGAACAGCTCCCCGTCATCTACCAAACAGTCTGACGTCCTTGCTATATATTTACTTCTTTAGTTTGTATCGCTCTGTTGTTTTTCCGCTACCATGTCAGGTATAGACATCTTCATGATCCTATTTTTGAAATAAATTCTTCTGAAGAATGTGGACGCTTGCGTTTGTTGTTGTGTTGATGCATGGACTCAGAGATGAGCTGCGTAGCGAGTGAGTGACGGCAGTGAATGTGATTGAATTAAATCTTTCTTTTCTTCATGACACTCTTTGTGTTCATTTATCCATTCCTTCTATTCCCTGCTTCTCTATTTCCTTTTTTTGTGGTTCTTGTTTTTATTTCATTCACGTGACAATATTTTCTCTGAAAATGCACGCACAATACCTAACCATGATGAGACGGAATCCATTATCAGATGTTGAAATTTTTACCTATCCTGCGAATTTCAGTGACCTGCCGCTTAGCTTTTCACTTGCATTCAGTTCACCGCAACCCTTTTATCTTTTTAAATCTTTTCTTCCCTTGTACATCTCTGATCAATGTAAATATTTGCTACAACAGAGCCCCTTTGCTAGTATATATGTTTGTATTGCTGGTATAAAACGGTTTCCCCTGAGCTGGATTTAGCGGAGTTTCTCTCTCGGGGACACGAGGGTTAAGCTTCCTCAGTCGCGTGTATTAGCTTGAGCAGACTAGTACCAAACCCGTTGAAAATTATGCTAGTAATTTGTATATCTGCCAGAATACAATGGAAATACCCCATAAATAAATTATCTCGCAATACAACTAGGCTGTGATTAAAATACATTTGATTGGGTTTTGTTGTGCGGTAACTTGGGTGTTGACGTGTATTTTGTTATCTCTCAACATAGCGATCGTATATGAAAAACTCTTCTTAATGTTGAACTTCGACTGAATACAGGAGATCTTATTCATGTGTTAAGTTTCTGACTTTGTGCGTGGCTGTTTATATCCTTCTCTTCCATTATATTTCTTTATTTTCCTTTGAAACATTGCAGTTTTCACCAAATCGATTTTTTTAATTTTGGCCATTTATTATTATTCTTCATGTATTTGGGTGTCTTACTTCCCTCCGTACTGACTTTTAGTTGAATTTGTCTTGCACTCAGACGCATAATTTCATCCGTGAACTTTTTTACTTGAAGTTTTCTCTTCCGACGGGACTTCAAGTTACTCTTCATCCGTCCTTCCTAAAATCTGTACTGAAAATTTTGCTTGATATTCTTTAGTACCGAAGTTCGCGACGCTCCTCTAGAGTGACTCTCACGAAGTATCGTCTCTGAAATTAATCTTTCACGCTCATGCAATTTCTGTTGGTACGTCTGCTGCTAAACTGACTAACTGGCATGAAATTCTGACTGAAATGTTTCAAAACTCCTATTGTTTATCGTCAGCGAACCTGTTGAGGGCGTTTGTGCTCATTTTTGTAAGTGAACTGTTACAACAATGCTTTTAAACTGCAGCTGCCATCACCTGCTCATATTTCTACGTATCAAGGATTCCCAGCAGTAGATCAACGTCTAAATACTTGCTCCCTTCCCTTCTATTTATGTTCGTCCATTTTTATGTCTTTGTTTGAATTTGTTAAGTAAAATTGCATTACTTCTGATGTCCATCTCCTTTGAAAAGCGACCACTATAAAAATTTTGAAGGACAGGAAACTTATTTCCATGATTATGTTTATATTCTAAAGTGTTTTTACTTACCTATTGAACTGTTGTTGTCTTTAAACATAAGACCTGGGTGTCTTCTTGATACACAGAGAAATCTGAGTGGTGTGACTAGAGGTGCTGCTGGAGGAACGTTTGTCTTGAAATTAATTAAAAAATTATGTTTCAATTTATTGTTTGACTTGTTGAGATGAGTTGCGTGCTTCAGTTGTTGTTCAAGAGCGCCATGCATTGACCCGACCTTCCGCTTCACTTCCATAGGACAACGTCGCCTCCGCGCTCTTAAAAGGAACATCGCCTATTTCCGAAAACATATGGAGAACCGCGGCTTTTTATTGTTTGGTGACCCTGATTCCCCTGTCATGCCTCTGTTAGGTCTGCCCAAAGGTCCTTTATCGTGAGTAATCATTTTATTTGTGCTCGGACGGTCGTAGGGGAGGGATAGCGCTCAGGTTTTACTGCTTCTGCCGCCCACACACCAATACCACAGACGTGCTCTGTACAATGCATTCACACAACAATTCTACAACAGTTGATTTGTCTTGGAACTTTGTAGAGCCAGGCAAGTCAATCAGGCTGTCTCAGAATTGCTTACAGGAACAATTCAATTAATCTCCAGTCCACATCATCATCATTACCTACGTATACATAATACCTCTGTATTCATGACATGATTGGTAACAGCGGACGAAGATTGTTTGGTATACACCTGGTGCATGGAACATTGATACAAGGTTGACACACGGTACAATAAAATCTATATTCATCTACATGAATGTCATAAGGCACAAAATTGTGGTCAAGCGCTTCACTGTGAGGTCAGATTTAACGAACATTCGCATTTTGCGATCCCACGGCGCTCAGGACTTCTATGGAATTGTCAGAAGGAGACACTAGCGTTATTGCGGTAATGTTTCTACTCTGCTCGCATTGTTTTTTTTTTTAATTTCATATTTTTATAAGACAATCTAAGTAACAGGAAAGTAATTTGTGGTTTTTCTATGTAACCCCCTTCGTCTTGTTGCTTCACGCTGCATTTTCAGTCTGATTGTTTTCTGTTACATATTACCTTTTGTGTCTGTGCGGCCACACCGGTAATTATTCTTTTATCGGAGCCCTGCAGCCACTATACAGCGTACACTATTGATGTGGCTGTCACTATTTTTTTTAAGTCACTGTATACGGTAATGATCTCATATCTACACGTTCTGCTCTCTAATTTCTCTTGTGTTGCAGGTATACTTATTCGAATAATTTCTAATGGTAACTAACTTATTAACTATCGATGCGACGCATGTATTTCATCAGCATGTATTCCAGTTAATGAGTTCAAATCCAAATCCACGCCGGAGGCAGGTTCTGTGATTCGGTGTGTTGAAGCTGCGTGCTCGCTCGTTGGTTGAACGGCTGCGGGGTTGGGCAGCCAGATATTTCTTTAGTCCCGTGAACGAGGAGCTGTTTTGTTGATGTTGTATGTTCGTGAATGATAAGAGCGGACAAAAATTGTTTGATATACACAGTGTGCATATAAGATTGATTAGAGGTTGACTGAGTCAAGCGGAATGAACCAAATTCTGGAGTTAGGTTCCGCATTCGTGTTTGTTGACCAATGCTCCCAAATGACGAGCTTTCAAATGATAAATAAATTCTTATGCTTGAATACAATACTGAGTGAAGTTAATTGAGCTACGTTCTCATGATGGGTGTAGCATCAAGTATCATCAATACTCATGAACTTTCATCGGTGCGTTTTGATAAATTTTATCGGACAGCATAAACCGTGTCGTCAGGATTGAGATTGTGGCTTATTTTAGAGGATATTAATTCACTCGTTCCTGAAGTTATTTCATTGTCTTTTATTTTCTTAAGCGTATCTGGAAATTCTACTGCGAGTGCAAGTTCGCAGTAGAATTTCCCGCCCAAAGTTGTTACTTTGGCCGGCTTTTCCTGACTTACTTGTCAAAGATCACTTGTACAAGATGCATGTTCAAGCCCTACCTTGATTAGTTTTCTCGCCATAATTCGTTAATTTTGGTTGTGTTTGGCTGTCGATTTTGTATGTTTGGCCTTTCGAGTGGTTTGCATCTTAAATGAGTGGCAGCATTTTCGAGTGTATGACCGCTGGCCGTGACCGTTTGATGAGACGAGTGTGTGGTGTATGCATCGTGATGTGAATGAGTGAGTGAGACCATCTGGACGAGCGCTTAGCGCGTACGGAGATGCACGCGCATCAATTCGATTGATTTTGGATTTCTGCTGTTGGATTTCTTCTGTGTGGCTATGACATGTCTTGCTATCTCTCGCGGGTGTTTCATTTATCCACTACATTTGTCTGGTGTCAGTGTGGTCGGTGTTGCATTTATCGACTGACTCTGTTCCGTATGGCGCTATAGGCAAGCGACGCATTGAGACGCTGCACCGCAACACCGTCTACTTCAGACATCGCCTGCAGCAACTCGGCTTTAAGCCATTCGGACACCCGGACTCGCCGGTCGTGCCGATAATTACTTTCCTGGTCACCAAAATTGCGTGAGTATTGTTTTCTCCATGACAGTATAAACATCAGCAGCTGGCAGGCATCTGCGACGAGATGTACGATGCATTAATAAGAACAGCGTTCGAGGTGGCATAGCCAAATGGTATAATTTTAGTGCGTGTATTTAGTGTAAGTCCAGCTTAGTCTCATCACCCTCCTGGCTTGTCCTTGCTGATACCGGTCCTGTAAATGTCGCGTAGCGCTTATCCCTTACACGCACCCGAGATCACGTGAGCATAGCTTCTCCCATGTATATTTGTCAATTTTGTGAGCGTCGAAGCATCAGTTCTGCCACTGGCCATGCCAAGATGCTCAACTCGAGGGCGCCCCTCAATGAATCTTCCGTTATCCCCGTGCTCGGCCTCCTTATCCTCCGTCTCGCTTATCCGCCGTTTGCCGCCGCTCCATCTTTATTAATTCCCAAACCATTCAAGAATTATTCATTTCTCGAAGGGTCTTAACGCTTGTTACCTCGCTCTAGCTAAGTTAATTTACCATGTGATCATTTGAATCATACGAATCTATTCTTTCATACAAGTATTTCATTCATACATATAATAAACACGCAAGATGCTCGGGAAAACTGGTATTATAATGTGACGCTTACAAATGCAGATATCGGAGTCATGGTTACTAACTCTGCTGGAAATGCATGTGCTGCCAATACACTTTATTCTATAAATGAGTAATAGTTGCGGTCTAATTATATAAAGGTATTGTCTTTATTGGATCAATATAAATGATAAGCACTCTGATGAAATGTATTTTTTGTTTCTATGAAGTAATAAGCCATTAATAATTCTAAAGCCTTGTTCCTTGAATAAATATTGTAATATGTGAATAAAATAATAGTTAAAGAGTTGTGTAAGTGCTTCAGAAAATTTTATTCATATAGCATTATAAACCGAGAAAAATAGTATGAAATGAATGGACATAAGAGTTGTGAAAGAATGACAACGCCCCGGTACTTAGGTTCTTGGTGCGGGAGCTGAGCAACCGCGGCGTGGCGTCCGTGGGCGTGGGCTTCCCAGCCACCAAGATCACCGGCGCCAGGATGCGCTTCTGCCTCTCTGCTGGACACGACAAACAGTCGCTGGATGAGGTCAGCTTACCAGACTAGCTTAACTCTTCGTCTAGTTCTAGTTATCTGGGGCCGTACTGTCAAAAATAGTAACAGAGTTAGTTACTCTGTCAGCCAATCACTGAATGATTTTCAAGCTTAAACTAGCCATCATAGTCGAGAAATTGGCCGCTATGTCTACTTAACATGTTTTGATAGTACGGCTTCAGGACTCCTACATTAGAGTAACAATTAGCATTGATCCCGTCAAGAGAGAGCCAAACAAGCCAAGCAACGAGAGCTAAACAAGAGTGTTACGCTGCAGTTGCCGACGCAAAAGTTGAGATTACAACAACCTGTACTTATCTTATCTACAAGCCGAACCTATCTCATCTACAAGCCGAGTCCCTACCACTTCGCCCCCCCACGCTAGTGGTAGGGACTCGGGTTGTAGATGAGGTACAGGTTGTTGTCATCTCAACTCCTGTGTCGGCAACTGAAGCCGAACACTCTTGTTTGGCTTTTGAAGATTTTCACTCCTCTAACTCGCATTATACCGTCCATCTTACTTTCTAGTACCCTCGTTTTATACCGTTAACAGGTCTCAATATTCTTATTGAAGTTGCATGCATAGGAAATTACTAATCAATTGTAGTTAAGGTACTTAATGGTATCGTTGAGCAGGTACTGAAGCACCTGAACGAACTTGGCGACGTGCTCTGCTGCAAGTACAACAAACACAAAGGCCGCGCTGATCTACAAATTGAGTGGTAGGACCTGTCATGAACCTTCACACAACCTCCGTCAACTCTACTGCTGCTGCAAGTCTCGTATCGACGCTTCGTCGTGTGTACTGCTGCTGTATCGCCCGCATCCGACCATGAAATGTTTAGCTCCACTCGACGCATCTTACTAGGAATTTTCTCTTCTCGGTTACTTGCGCTTGCCGCTATTATTCCCATCTTTTCGGTTGTTAGCTGCATATATTTTTTTGCAAAATCATAATTTGCTGCGTTTATATTAGAAGTTTAAAGCTATTTGATGTTAAACTGGCGGTAACTTTCTATCTTTCATGAATTGTCATTATATCACAGTCGTCCCATATGTTTTTTGAAGTAAAATTTTTTTGATATTCTATGGGAGTTATAGCATTTGAAAATGCTGTGTTTCGCATATTAAGTATTTCTAGAATTTCTGTTGTGGAATTTTCCGATTGAGATCTCGTTTTTGCTCTGATTTGCATGCGTGCGGCTGCTGATACTCTTGTCTCTGTTTCATCTCACTGTCGAGATATGCTCGAAGTGGTCCGTGAGGAACGTCCGTCTCTGGTATCATAATGGTTTATAAAAAATTAGCAATGGCGTTAACTTATCAATAAGTATCAAGATATTTCTTAATTATTCAACTTCTAAATAGCTGGCAAATGTTTGCACTTTGTTGCTCGTAAGTGTGTATATATTTTATCAGACGACGATCATGAAAAACTTCCCGCTCGATGTTGACGAAAATAATTGAGCTACTAAAATTATATATGATGTACTCTGAGGTTTAAAAAGTATCGTGGTTGACAGTTTTGATTCTTTAATATTTTTATGTCTGTCACCTTAGAAGATTGTGATGTGTTGTTGAGAGAATTGTAGCATCTTTTTGAGCAACAAAAGATTGATGCGCTCATGTGTCACAACGAAATTACCACCTGAATTTTTATAGAATCGCGAATTATGCAAGCTTTTTTGCGTTGATATTGAAAATCAATGAAATGAGTTACAAAATAGCCGTTGCCTGAATAATACGTGCCTTAATATTCCTCTTAAATGGGGTTACAAGCGATTCTGTGATCTTCCTAAGTTGAGGACGGACATCACCTTTACTATTTTCCTGTAGCTTTGAATTTCTGGGCCTTCTTTTAGCATTAAATGTAGTATATTAAATCATGGATTGCATCGTGGTAGTCTTAGAACGCCAGTCTCGGCGGGCAGTGAAGTGATTACTTGGCTAGCTCCGCGATGGGATTTTAGTTTCTCGATTATATATATGCGGTGTTTGCAATTGATATCGTTGTTAAGGTATAATGAAGGATGCACCTCAAATAATTCTTACGTCTCAAAATAGACGTTCTTTTAATTGGACGAGAAGAACTCACCAAGATCCATAGTTAGTCTATCATTTTAATTCGCCCTGGTTGAAAATGTATGCTCGTTACTGTGAACTGTAAAACTTTGAGTGAATTGCTTGATTCGTTGCTAGCCAACCTGCATTCCAGCAACTGCTAACCCATCCTCGTCCCAGTGCCCACACCTCCTTCTATAGCCCAGCATGGCTGTTGCATTGTCTCGCTGTTAGCAAAACAAGAAAATGATTTCATTTGTTTTCATTAATTCCCTACTGAGGCACGATTTTTTTATGCAGTAGTGAAGAGTTCCTCGGCGTGGTTAAAGTTGAACTTGTAGTACTAGTGAACTGAAGACATTCTAGAATTTCTGTTGATGTGTCCCGAACGCTTTGCTGTACATTTAATGCTCTCCCTTAATCTTTTTTTACACTCTGCTTGTACATAACTCGTGTGTTATTGTTGTTGTTTCTGGAATTGATTGATGATAAAACGATATCCTTGTTATAGTTTACAGTGGGAATACTGCTACGTTGTAGTATTCGAATTTAACGGTTTTCGAATTCATTATCCTACAATGCAGTTCACACAACTAATTAAAGGCTATTTTTTTACTCCGGAAGAGATTATGTTGATACTTGTGACACATTGCCCGATTATACCCTGAATGGAATGCAAATGTTGTGTGTGAAGTGCTGCGTAAATTTAATCTCGTTCTCATAAGCGTCGCGTTGAGTGTTGCTGGAGTTCCGCTTTTGCTCAGATCATCAAAATATGCAGCATATGCAACGCTGTCAGCGCATCGTCCTCAGGATGATGTCGTCAGAGTCGGAACGGACGAGGGTCCTGAATAACAGCCGAGTCCACGTCAAAACTTAGACGTATCCTTGTTATAAGACGGCCGCTCGTTCTTGTGTCAACTAGACTTTTGGTATGAGCGTCGCTGCCGTTTCGACGCCCTCTTGCAGACATGTCACCGGTGCAGCTCGTGTAATGTTCTTCGTTAATGTGTGTTTGTAGTTTTTAAGTTTATATTTCATATTTTTAGTTCCTTAACATTAACCGAATGTCCCCAGGTTCACGCATCATCAAGGATGATTTCTTGGTGCTCCTGACTATTAGGCGGAAACAGTAGAATGTTTATTTTGGTGAATATCCTAAAATGACTTCTTGGTGGCCAACTCAAAGAATTGCTCTGTTTCCTAGAATTAACCAAGCCCTATAATTTTAATAATAAATAAAATTTGAATGAGTATTTGTTGATAGCACTGAAGGCTGAAACTGCAGCAGGATAGAATCTGGTCGCTCTTGTTTTGTTCGCCTGTCAGTTTTCCTACAAGAATATTTCTCTGACTGCAAGAGTTGGAAATATTGTGGTCGCATCTTTTTCATTTACCGCACCTATTCTTGCTTAATGTTATTGCATTAGCATTCCTCTGCGCTGCCGTTCGTCCGCCGAACGATTCTTGCTGCATCTTCCTAGAAATTCGATGTTTTCTGTCGTATGGAATGCGGGTAGTCCCATAGCAATCATTTAGCCATTGTGTGAGGGTATTCTAATTTGTATGGTATTATTTACCCTGACTTGCAACTCCACTTATTCAAGTTTTTCAATAATTAATGTAAGCCTTCTTCAATACTTTTCTTGGCCTGGAATGTCTTTTCAATTATTGACGACAATAGATTCAGTGGTTCATCCACCATACTTGGCTGTTCATAACAGAAATGGGTTTCAATGCCAACGCTAAAATCAAATCTTGAAATGGGATCTGAATGTGGCACGTGCGTCTATCGCCCTAGCGTCTGTCTGTGTTTTTTTTTTTTTTTGCTCGCTTCCTGCGTTGGTCCTCGTATGAAGCGAGACATTAAGTATTTAACAAATATGTTCATTTATGGGTAAACCAACCACGATATTTTCGTGCATGTTACGTCTGTTGTCCCAAAATTCTTAGCATTCTGTAACTAGGCATTCATTCTCGCCTGTCTAAAGTTTAAAGATTTATTGACCTTTCGAGCGTAAATGATTCACGTTTTCTATTCCTGTGTCAGTCTACACAAGATCTCACATGTGTATTCGTGTGTCATTGTACACATGTGTTTCTGCGTCATGGTACCCATGATCACACATGTGTTTCTGCCTCATTGTACACATGATCACACATGTGTTTCTGCGCCATTAAACCCATGATCACACATGTGTTTCTGCGTCATTGTACACATGATCACACATGTGTTTCTGCGTCATTGTACGCATGATCACACATGTGTTTCTGCGTCATTGTACCCATGATCACATGTGTTTCTGTGTCATGGTACACAAGACAATGTGTGTTCGTATCCCATTCACCGGGCACCGGGAATGATTACCTATTGTACATTTATCTGGTAGCGCCGCTAAGATTCGCCATTCCTAATTTATTGATGTATTTGACCCGTACCGAATCGTGTATCTGTTATTGTAAGTCATGTATCCTCGCGATAAGTTAATATGAGAGAGACGGCCGCGTTATGATGCCCAAGCATATCATTGCTCTGAAAAAGACGGTAATTGTCAGTGTAAGGGAATAATTTATTTACTCATTCATGACGCGTTAGGTGATCAATAATAAGCGACGTGTATTGCTTAAAGGTTTCAATAAATGTCAACTGTTTTAATGGTTAGGATGTTTATTTTAGACTTACACTCGCAGAGTGAACGCACTGGAGCCTCTCAATTAAATTCGATGTAGTCTGCCATTCACTAACTAAGCATGTATGTACTCCATGCATTCTCAAGTGTCAAGTAAAGCATTCACAACATTTATATCATTTATTTCTTTTCATTCAAACCCATTGTGATGAATTCAGGTACTTTTTCGGGTTTGGAGTTTGATATATTATTAAACTAGCCTTTAAATTACGGTATTTTTTCATTCGTGCGGTCAGTGACAAACCCACCGCCTGATCCTTATTACGTGAGCAACGTGCATCTTGACACAGCGCTGAGGACGTGGCATCGCCTTGGGGTGTGCATTGCAAGAACTGCTGTCCGTAATATTCCAAAACAGTTCCCCAGTTAGTTGGTACCACGAGACTGGATTGCAGGAAAAGTTCCAGGATAAAATCATGAGCAAGGACATCACGTCTATTTGGACGCATGTTTCTTCTTCAAAAGTGCCGCGTCAGGCGACGGATTTGCAGAATCAGTTTCTGAGCGTCATTTCGCAGAGAGTGACCTGACCGAGTTCTACACTTCAACTGGTCTGTCGTTCAAGAGGCCTTTTAGAAATGTCTCTTTCACAATACTGATCCCATTTGGCTCACGTTATTGCCGTAGATTAGAAGCTTGTACCCACCCTTCTGCGCAGTCACTAGCTGAAGAACTTATTGGTGGAAGGAGTATGACGCGTCACTGAGACTTTCATCAAGAGATCCTAAAGTAAGACTCAATAGGTTAATTTAAAACATAGCGTTCAGACTTCAGCCAACTGTTGGTGATGTATGGTGTAACGTGTGTGAGGTTAAAGTTGCTTTCATATGTTGCTGAGTGAACAGCGCCAGACGTACGGTACAGCCTTCGCATGCGGCTGTGTGGAGCATGCGGCTGTGTCAGCATGCGGCTGTGTGGAGTAAATGCTGCTTAGAGAGAAAAATAAATCATTCTGGGACTAGAAAATTATATGTATCAAACATAGTGCAATGACAATAAAACAATGCCAATAAAATTCAGACAACCTAGTATTCGGTCATAAATACTCAATTGTGATGTTCTATATAGTGAAGAATTGGCCTGAATAATAGAAGATAACATGGCCCTCCAAAATAATAAGACTGATATTCATTTCAGTTTTTTTCGCGTGATCGAAGTGAGAAGACACAAGGCTGAAGATCCAGATTTTTCAGGTAACAAAGTTCAGACAGGTATTTGCGTGGCCACGGCATTTTTGTTATAGAATAGAATAGAAGTGTCGGCACTGAAAAAATAGGCCCATGGCCTGTTGCCGATTCTTGAATTTTTCGTGACTTGATTCACAAGGGATCTGGGCCTTTTGGAACCCGATCTTTCCATAACTGACTTCCATTCCGTTCAGGATGATTTTTTTTTTCATTTTTATCTATGACTGTTTTACTCTATTAGACAAATCATCTCCAAATGCTGCTCTGACATTCGTTGCATATTTTATGAATATTATTTCGAGAGGCATCGCTTTTTTTGTTCTCACTGAAGCTTTCTCAATAAAACTTGTCGGTCGATTAAGAGGAGTAACTAATCGACAAAACGACCTACAATCACAGAATACTCATGCTTACATCTCATGTCTCATTTCAATTTCCAAACCATATTATTCTTTGTTTATGTTTAATGGCTACGTACACGTTTACTAGCGCTTTAGCTATCTCGCACCGGAAGTCAAGATCTTAGTTATCGAATGTTGCTCAAATCGAAGACCGTTCATAACCCACAAGGGGCTGAAGGTCATAATTGTCCAGCCCGCTGAAACTGGCGCGAAAGAAGCAGCTTTATATATCAAAGGCAAGAGGGACAGGTGAAAATCAACAGCAACTAAGACACTCGATCAAGAGGTCGTTTACACGGGACGTCGGCTATCCGTACGAGAGAGACAGAGAAGGGAAATGTAAGGAATTCTGCCTCAATGGTAGCTTAACCCCACAACTGAGACCCGCAGTCAGATACCGCGAGCTCAGCAGTTGGGCACTCAGGAACAATCCTCCTAGGAACACAAAATCCCATAGGACTTCTGACGAGCACAGACACGCACCAGACGACCCCCTTTAGAGGAGCAAAGGGACATGCTTTTAGAAGTATGTCTTCGACGGAACTGAATGACGTTCTCATGACAACCATAGAACGTAAAATTAGAAATATTGTGCATCCAGCAGAACAAAACCATTGTAATTTTCTGACTAAAAAGTATATTTTTAAATACAACATGGCCGCAAAACCCAGTTTCTGTTTTTTGAAAGGTATATATATATCCGTGCATTTTGCCCGTAAAATTTGCGTGTAAAATATTCAGTATTGAAATAAAAGTATACATATGCATTGTTCTTATTGCACGCACTTTGTTTCATTGAGGTGTTTGGCAAAAATAGAAAGACGCTAAATCTTGCAGTTGTTCAGTAATAAGAAGCACTATCATACAAAAATTATTGTTAGCCATTGTACGCTCTCTATTTTTTGCGCAAGTATCCTTCTCATTTTTTGTAATTTGCAATTTCGCTTCTATTCTGAAAAGCAAGCGCACAGGTGAGTTGTAGAAGTGAGGAACAAATTAGGGTTTTAAAACACCGCTGCCAACATTGCGGAAAATTGGAATCAGCATTTTACGATGAAAGCATGTACTTGCACATGTAAGAAAAATTTATGTCATAAATCATGTAGAGCCGGTTGAATTTATCTACACCACGATTAAAAAAATGTTTTGGTATGCGATAAGTTCGTGCAAAATCAAGGAATTGTTTCGCAAATAGAATTTTTGCACAAATTCAACGTTTGTTTGTCATGTTGATTGTTGACATCTGTGCCCTCTGGCTCAGTCAGCTGTTGGCAGCTCAGCAGGTTGCGTGTATGTGACAGAAGGCACATCGGAGTCAGACTTTTGGCACGCTCATAACAAGTGTCTGGCAAGTAGCTACTGTCAGCTCGTTCGCGTGACATATCTTTTTTTTTATTTGTGAATTTTCAACAGTATGAGGGGAAATATTTGTGTCATTGCTAGCCGGTTGGTTGGCGTCAGTGCCGAAGCGTGTGGATCATCTTCTACATTAACACGCTGTAGAGCTGTGACCTCAACGCGGTATCCTAATCCTGCCATTGGCATGGAAGGACAAAAGCGTCCGTACTCGCAAGAATTTCTACGAAAAAGTTACATTGATCACAAAGCCTTGTGGGAAAGTAAGTGATGAAGAATGTCTTACAACAACACATTGTGTTACAAATTAAAATTGAGAAATATGTTAGGGACCCGTTAATTTATAATTCCCTGATCCTGATGATACCTGCTATTTCAAGATTTCAATCAATATCTTATGTACTCACTACTCACTAGCAACGTTACTTTGATACTTCTTGGTTTAATTATATTTATTGGACTTGATAACAAAAGTCAACTAAAAGCATAGTGGCAAACCAGAGATTTTTTAGAATTAGTTCATTTTTAACATCCTCATTTACTCAATATTTGAACCAATTTCTTATGTATGATAATGCTGGTATCCATGATACTTTACTGGTCTACTTGGAGGACTCAAAATTGAACTTGAGTGAGAGTCTAAAAAACTCTCTGCTTTGCCACTATGACTAAAAGTTGGCCACTAGTAAAGGCCCTATACTATATCAGTATTAGCTAGTCTGTATTTGGGCATAATAATTGGCATAGGGTAATAAATAGGCCCACACTCACCACAGTCCCACTATGTACAGTATACTGTTACACTTACTGTATACACATAACATTACACAGCAAATATTTACAATCATTTTGGTTCTTTTATGTGGAAACCTATATTATATTTATTAATAAAATGGTTGTTCAATTTTTGAGTTACAGGTTCAACTATAATTTTAATTATCAGTTTATTATCATTCAATGATTGCTACTTTCTACTAGTTTCTAGACCACAGAGCAGAGGAAACCAATAATCCAATATTCATCATTAAATGATATGATTTTAGAATTCTAGCTCACAGGGAAAAAGTACTCTCTAGTACTATAATAATACTAATAGTATTTCTTAAAAATTCATTAATTTTTATTTGAGGTGTATATTAACTTGACACTTTGACTCCAATTGCTTCATCTTGTACTATTATTTCATTTTTTGTACTCTTTTTAAACAGGGTTGCCAGACAGTCATTTTTTTCCAGACAAATTCTGTGATTTAGTTTTTCTCAATTGTGTTGGCCGGCTAAAATTTATGATAGGGGTACTTCCTAATTAAATTTTAAATACTGATAAAAAAATAAATGAAATTTTTATAGCGGAACCTACAAATAAACTACTAGTATATATTGATTTATTGGCCTTTTTTGTTCTTGGATTTGGCTGATTTTAGGCAACCTAAATTATGTACCTACCACTACGTCCTGGAGAAATAAATTTAGTGGTACGCATATGTACCACTTCTGAGTCAACTTGTTGACCTTCTACTGCCTGACATGAGTAACCATAGCTCTATACTCACAGCCTACTTTCCAAAAGGGTTGCGTTCTAGTGGGTGCAAAATGGCTTGCATGGTTGCCGCCACTTACGACAACTTTGAAATGTTCTCTATTTTGTACAAATGTCCTTGGGTTGCTACACTGAGTACTGAGTAGTGAGTACACTCAGTAGTTTACGTATGATTAAAGCTAAAAGTTATATTCCTGGAGAGTGATTTATGTCAGTAGAGGCTTAAAACTTACTATTGCACATCTCATTGTCTATTTTCTCAAGTGCTAATTATTTGACATTAGATAATTCTAAATGGAATTGAAAAGTATAACTCATTTAGATTGTGATATTTAGTGTTGATCATAATATTTTTCCATTGAAGTGTGTTTTGTGAGATTGGCTAAATCCAAGTCATTTAGGCCATGGCAATGTTATACAACTTTGGATCTTAATTTCCAATTCATCAACTTCTTTGATGAATTGGAAATTATTTGAGTTTTTTGTTATATAATAGAATATTTTCAAATATTTGTAAGTGTATTCATGTACATAAATCATATTAGGGCTTTAATTGCCAATGTATGATCCTCATAAGTCATAGTGGCTGTCAAGTGACTGAAATGAGAGACTTTTTAGCTGTGTTTCCTGCAATGTTTTAATTACCTGTACAGCTTCAAGATTCAGTTCAATCAAAGTGTATGATAATGTTGGTAATTATGATGTTATTGATGTATATATACTTGATTTGTTTACTCAAAGAAGCCAAAGTTTTACTTAATAGTGTGGCTGATGTTTGGAGGCCCCAGTAGGACTGTGGTGGCAGCCTTGTGATGGGACGTAAGATGAAGTGCCTTCATGAAGAGAAGAATAGGAGGAGCTCTGAGACATAAAGTAAGACTGCAAAGCATTGAGATGAATGTTTGAAAACAGAATTTGTATTGAAACCTTAAGATGAGAAAATGGAGAGGTCAGTGTTGTATTAAACATACTCCAGTCGCCAGGTGCCTATTGCTGAAATAGATTCAGATAAAACGCTATGGAAAAAGAAAAAAGTTCAAGAGTGAGGGGGTATAAATAGGTTTATGGAATGGAATTATGGAATGAAAGCCTCAGATTAAACCAAATGAAAGCAATGCTAAGGCGTGAATACTTGTTTGATGAGAGGAGATTGGACCAAGTGTTTTCTGCATGAAGTGCATTGGCTGTCACCAAATATACTGAGGGCCTAAAAGAGAGGGTAAGTGCTGATGATGGCTCTCCACCACATGATGGTGGTGTGGTGGAAGCTGATCTCCCATATGGTGGAGTGTGAGGTGTATGAGCAAGCAAGGCACAAGGGAGGAGATTCTGAATAGATGGGGTGAGTCACTGGAAAGTGTGAGAAGAATGGTAAGACATAGACTGAAATAATTGAATATATTACCTGTTACCTGCCAGAACCACTATTGTTGTGATTGAGAGTGCAGTGAAATATTAATGAGCATGTGGAGGTTGAGAAAAAGAGAGATGGGAGGAGGAGAGCAAGAATGATGATTTAATGAATTGAAAATAAAGCAAAAATTAATCTAATCAGATTTCAATTCTTTATAAATATTTTAGGTTTTGGTTAGGTGAGGTTTTGATGAAATTTTACATATTTTAGCTGATAAGTGTAGTCTGGGAAGAACATTTCTTTTCAAATGGACAGTATTTCTGTCTCCTGGAATGTTTATTCTTGAAATATATGACAATGGGCTACATGGCTACGGGCTACCCAATTTAATGGTCTATTCTGTGGTCACTGTGCAACACAATTTAGAAGAATAGCTACCAAAAAGTCTCTTGTCTGTCATTATGATTATCATGAAATGAAATACATATGACAATGACACTTGAAATACATGACAATGGGCTACATGGCTACCCAATTTAATGGTCAAAAAAGTCTCCTGTCTGTCATTATGATGAAAATATCATGAGCAGCTGCTCCTGCTTATACATAATTTTTGGTAATACTTTAGATTACGGTAAGTGCATCCAAAAAAGGTGTTTTTTTTAATTGTATGTTTTTTGGGGTGTAGATTAAGAATCTGAAATCTGTTTTAGGCGGTTGGCATTGGAAATTTTTAATGGAACTTGTTCCTAACTGGACCTAACCTGCAAGGTTTTCGTTAATTTGCTAGGTTTTTCCGGCTGACGGACGGACTCCAAACATAGAAGAAACCTATTGGCTAGGTTTTTCCGGCTGCTGGACGGACTCCAAACATAGAAAAAACCTAGCCGATCAACAAAAACCTCGCAGGTTAGGTCCAGTTAGGAACAGGTTCCCTTAAAAATTTCCGATGCTGACCGCCTAAAACGGATTTCAGATTCCTAATCTACATCCCAAAAAACATACAATTAAAACAACACCCTTTTTTTTTGGGTGCACTTAATCTAAAGTAATACCTAATTTTTTTCTATGAGCAAATTGTATAACATGTGTTATCAAGATCATTATTTATAGTAATCATGCAAGCTAATTTTATTACTAAAGTTCATGTTCTAATGTTAATGTTTATGACATCCATTACACATACGTACCTATGTTGTAGAAATCTTTCTATCATCAATGATATTAACATTTGAATTACTTTAGCACTTAATTCAAGAGCAATCTACTAAACTCTATAATATTATTTATAAATGCTTTTCTTTGTGTTTAAGTAAAGAAAAAACTTTCAATCTTCTCAAATTTTACTACAATTTTATTGTTTTTGGTTTGTAAAATATATTTTTTCTATTGAAGATTAGCAATTTTAAAACATTGTCAATAATTCCTTATTGGTATATACTGGTGGTGTTTGCCTATCCCATAAATCTCCACTCCACGTGTTATTTTTTATAGAAAGAGGCAGAAATTATTCCTTAAAATTGATTGCATTTCCATCAATGATACAAGTTGCTATCATATGACCTGTATTAAAAATATTGGTTATGACTGTTTGTTTTGACTTGATTATATGATTGTAGGTACTATACTTATCTCTAACTTGTGGTTGTGCCTTTTACCATTTTCTGAAACAATTTAAATTGTATGCGTGTTATTTTAATTTTTTTCCCTGACTTTGTGGGCTTAAAAAACATTAATAGGATAATTTTTGATCAGCTATTGATTAAACTGTAAAACTTCTTTCTTGGGCAAGGGAAATACTAATATTATGTGATGTACTTTTATGAAATAATTACGTATGGTATATGCCTCCGAATTGTGGTGTATATCACAATTCATGTGATAGTATCATGTCCCATGATTCTTCATCTTAATAGTGTTCTCATGCTTATTATTTCCCTCTTTAAATTGCAGGGAAGAAGCTTCCTGAAAATGTGGACAGTAAGAATGTGTTTGTCTCCAATGAACTTGATCTGCGCACAGTGGATGTTTATGGTTTTGATTATGATTACACGCTTGCAAATTATGAAGCGAGTGTGGAGCATCTTATATATCAACTTGGACGTGATAATCTTGTCAATAAGTATAAGGTGAGCTGATTTTATTTCTACCAACCACAAGATGAATGAATCTTATCAATCTTCAGGAATGGATTTCGTATCTATATACGGTACACTTTCTAATTGCTTGCTGACTGGCAAGAACGGTACTGATTCAGTTGTGGGACTTAATTCAAATAACTACTTATCTGGAGAGAAAAACTTGTTTGGATTGTGATTTCAGCCTCTCCATCAAAAATACCTTGAATTACTTATGTTCATGATCTGTCATTTGATATTGATTAAAAAAATTTCTAATTTTAATTATTGTTACAGTACCCTGAAGAGATCAAAGAGTTCAGTTATGACCCAAAGTTTGCTGTGCGAGGCCTCCACTATGACATTGAGCAAGGGCTTCTCATGAAACTGGACCAGTTCCAGCAAATCCAAATGAGCTCCATTTATAGAGGCCTGACTCCTCTCTCCCAGGCTGAGGTGGCAGAAACTTATGGATCACGAGCACTGCCTCTGTCCTATGTAGAAGGGCACCTCAGGGGAGTAAGTTCTCATTCTTCATTGGATCATTGTTAATGGATTCTTTTCTAATATTTTATTATCATTTTAGATTGTTATTTTTCATTAAATGCTTGAATTAAACACTTTATTGAAGTTACTTTGCTTTTACTGATTTTAAAATTGTAGACTCTATTGCACTCTACAAGTGATTTGCAGTACATTCATTTGCTATTGAGCTTCTTTCTTGAAAGTACCTATATCCTACATTTATTTCACTGCTAATTGATAGACACATACGTATATGAATTTGGGTGCCAAAGAATATGCTTGTCTGACTCTACATTAATAAGTATTAGTAGGTATCACTTACTAATTGTTTTACTGCGTAATGAGTTCATATGATGAAAATTTTATTCTTTCACTTGTGCCTCAACCAAGCATCTATCTCAACACCAAGTGTGGGCTTTCTAATGCACCCTATGATGCTTGTCCTGTGCTGCTTATCAATGATTCATGTTATTCCATGTTGAATGCTATTTATGTATGTATGACCATATAACCTTGAGATGTTGGAAAGTAATTGCGGTGTTCAAGGGCAATTGCCAACTATTTTAAGAGGCAAGATGTCCTTCAAGCAACTTGTTTATTGCGTGGTGCTGACTTACTTATGAACCTTGCACCCAACTGCTGGACACTCCCTTTAATATTTGGGTAAGTCATAAGGGCTCAGAGTTTGCGTCAATAATTATTGTTGTAGATGAAACAAATGCTCTTGCAAATCATTCTGTTTCTTGTAAGCCTGATGTTTTGCTGCACGAAAATACCTTTTTCAAATGCCTACAGATCCATCTCGTTATTTTGCCTTTATTGTCAGCCTGTGAATACTAAGGAAATTTGGTCAGGTCTTGCTATATTTTAGTGAATCTATAGATACTAATGGTGTAATTATCGTGTACTGATCCACATTTGTTTTGTGATCAAATGTCAAAACATTTGATCAAATGTTTTGCACTCGACATTTTTGAAAATCAAATGCATAGATGTTTCAGCAACATCATGTTCAATTGTTGATGCTGGATATTCACCCTCATAGTAGATATGACATAGTTTGTGTGTTTATGTGTCTTTTCAAAATGTCATCTTATTTGTATTGACATGAGTAGAAGATGAAGAAATTAACACCCTGGTCGGATTCTGTGAACAATAAGTGATGTTAAGACTTGTGTCAAAAATGAGTGTTTTTGGCTCTATCCTTTGCATGATGTTTTCCTAACATTAATTCGTTATGTCCTTGCACAGCTACACTGAGTTAAAACCAATCCCGCGACCTACTTGATGCTTCTAAATGTGTGCACTATTGCCACGTTTTGCTGCTCGCATGTCTGATGTCAGTTCATGAGGGTAGTGAGAGGTTGCGCTTCTTTCAACTGTTCAATGCAATATGCATGATGAAATAGTTTGCTCGATATGATATAGGTATATTATTCGTTTTGCACGACTACTAAAGTCACTTCCAATGAACAGGATTCTTAATTTAATTCCACTTTTGCTATCTTTAGTTTTGCTGCCAAACAAAATTTTATTCTTTTACACATTGGCAATACATTAAAAAATTTTTTTTATTACATTCCAAAAATAATAACGTTCCAAATGCCTCATATGAGGTCTTTTAAATATATACCTTCTTTCCCTTTCCTATTGTATGGGCATATGTGCATTGTTATATGAACTTATTTTCAATCATTTGGCGAAATTTTTCTTCTCTTAGTCATATTTTAGAGTTTAGCAATAATTTGTTCTAATGAATTCGGTGAACTTGATGTCGCGTCTCTATTGCTCCCACCTGAAACATTTTATATTACTAATGTTGAGCAGCTATGAAAACATATGCCCCAGAAGCCTACACCTGCCATAGCATATTTATTCATTTAGATGAAAACCACTTATTGTGGGTTTCAATGAAGTTCCAGTCTGTCTTGTCGCTTGCAGCTCTCGCCTATTGTTGTTTGTCGTCTGGAAAGTTATTAAATTCAACTTAATGGAAAGGAAAGGGGTATTTATTTGTAAAGTAATGCATTTGTTGTTGAATTCTGGACTGAACAGAAGCAGACGATGGCTCACCTGGCAGACCTGTTCTCACTGCCCGAGATGTGCCTGCTGAGCCAAGTGACGCAATACTTCATGGACCACAAACTTCCTTATCACTCCGTCTCGCTCTTCAATGATGTCAAGGTAGCTTACTACAATGTCACAATATTTTTCTTCCTTGAACGGTCGGGTCAGGTTCCCGTCCAGTGCTGGCGTGTGGATTATTTATTTCCTTACAGAGCTCCAACGAATTTATAATGTTCTCAGTGACTTGGTTTATTTATAATGCCCTCAATGACTTGGTTTATTTATAATGCCCTCAATGACTTGGTTTATTTATAATGCCCTCAATGACTTGGTTTCGGTAGAAAGATGAATTAGGTTTTTAATGAAGCAAGTAATTTGATGATATGAGCTTTCATAATCACCTAGTTATTGTTATTGAATATTTTGCTCAGGAAAGCATAGGGAGCATACATCCTGAAATGCACCGCATCGTGGCTGCCGACATTGGTAACTTCCTGAAGAAAGAACCCAACTTGGAAATATTTTTCCGGCGACTAAAGGAGCACGGCAAGGAAGTGTTTATAATCACGAACAGTCCCTTCCACTTCGTGAACGTGGGCATGAATTTCCTGCTAGGCCCCGACTGGCGCGACTACTTCGACGTGGTCGTCGCCGGGGCCAAGAAACCAGCCTTTTTTGTGGACCGCATGAGGCCCTTCAGGGAACTCGACACCTCCCCACAGGGGGTACAGTCCTGGGGACCCGTCGAGTGTCTAGAAAAAGGCAAAATATACCTCGAGGTTCGTAGGGCTTCCTTGTTAATTGAAGAGCGTTAATTATCTGCATCCTTTAGATAACGTGCATATGTGACATTTAGATAGTAGACCTCACAGTTTTATCGTCTTGAAGGCAAGGTTTTTATAGTTGGTTATTCATATATCAGGCATTAAGGAATAAGTGCGAGTAACAGCTTTGTACAGTTTTTTTTAGATTGACACTCGTTAGCGTATCTTGATGCTTTAGAGTACCAAGAGTGGAGCAGAGAGGTGCGGGTTCGATCCCAGCTCTGTGCGCCAGTTTCTGGTCAGAATCGGCGAGGAGGCCGGGCGATTAAGCACAGCAGAATTGTAGCAGCGAATTGCGAGTTCGGCGACAGTTAAGAATCGGCGATGTTAAGAATCGGCGACAGGCCTACGGCCTAATAAACGGTGAAGCCGCTATTATTTATCTGAATGCTTTAGATAGCTTGCATATGTGACATTTGGATAGTAGACTTCCCAGTTTTATCGTCTTGAATGCTAGGTTTCTGTAGCTGGTTATTCATATATCAGGCATTAAGGAATAAGTGCGAGTAACAGCTTTGTACAGTCGTGTGCAATTTATCTTAGTTTTGTACTCGTTAGCGTATCTTGACCCCTAAACTTGGATCTTTAATCTTATGCGGACAAACTTAACAGAATTCTGCACTTGAGTGCCTCATATCGTTTTGTTATAAATTGTATTGGAATTTATGTTCTCAGGGGAACTTATCAGAACTGCAAAGGCTAAAAGGCTGGCGAGGAGAGCGCGTCTTATACTTCGGTGATCATCCTTATAGCGACCTCGCGGACGTCACCCTGAACCACTGCTGGAGGACAGGGGCCATCATCTGGGAGCTCGAGGTAGGCCTGAGCAAATCAACTCCATAAGTGCATGAATTTCTTCTCGTTTTGCACCAAAAACTGCTGGATATATCCCAGAAATTGCGGATAAAGGTTTTATAGTCACCCGATCAGGTACGAGGTTCATTCGTTGACGGAAATGACTCGTGCTTCAAAACCGGGAATCCCGTCGAATTCCATGTTAAATGTTAAATCGAGGAATGTGTTATGAGAACCCACTAAACCAAATCCCTTTCCTGCGCAAATGACAACTGAGCTAACAAATAATAGGAACGAATCGTCGCAATCGATGGATACTTAGCATTATTCTAGTAGCATCGTAGTTTAGAATAAATTCTATCCAAATTCATTTATTTGTCATTGTAGAGTTTGCTGGAGTGATATTCATACGGACCGCATTCAGAATTATTAGCTTTAATGTAATGGCTGCAGCATCATTTTCATTCAGGAACGGAAGTTGCATTTTACACATTAAATTTTTATGCGGGCTCTAAGGGTGAGACTTGGTTTTATTTGCATGTACGTGTTGCGTGTCAGCACGAGACGGAGTGCCTGAACAGCGAGGAGTTCAAGAAGACCATCGGGTGGCTGCAGATGCTGCAAGGTCTCATCGAGAGCAGCCAAGACTACGAGGATCCTGCCAGCAGGGAGGTCGTCAGGGAGTGGGAGACCGAACGCGACCAACTCAGGTCAGTTGCTCGAAAAAGCGTCTTATTATTTATAAGCCTAGCAACTCTAGACCTGAGGCTTGGCTCGCAACTTGAAGAATGAGTCATGGTAGTAGGCATGTTCAGTTCGCTAAGAACTGTCCGTGATTTTCACGACAAAAACTAATTATCTTGCAGGCCAAAAATTGACAATTTCAATGAAAATTACAGCAGTTTCTAAACGGAACAAACTCCCTTATTTTGATCTGCCATTTCTCTTAATGAAAGGAACTCTCCGCAAAATGATTTTGTATATGTTGTAGAAGCATACCATCATTATAGCATACATTGCCGATAATCACGGATTATCTTCTAATTAACGTCCATCTAATCAAATGTTTGTTTTTCATCCGAAGACAAAGAACGAAGGAGCTTTTCAACTATCACTTCGGGAGCGTCTTCCGCACACACGACAACCCGACGTATTTCTCGCGCCGCCTCTTCCGCTTCGCCGACATCTACACGTGTCGCCTCACCAACCTCAACCACTACTCCATCAATCACACTTTCTACCCTAGACGCGGTGTCCTGCCGCACGAGTACAAGAGTCTATTTGTGTGAACAGAATATAATAAGTCAGGCATACAATTTTACGTAATCTGTTGTTGTAATTATAGCAAAAGATATTAGTTCTAGATATAAATATCTCGAGTTGTTCAGGGAGCTACGTTACCAGGATCAACCGCACCAAAATAGTTTCGTCGAGAACGCAACAGTATTTCATAATACTCTGTTTAGCTGTAAGTCCAGGCGATATGAAAGTCATGAATCCTGATGTTGAGTTGCATGCAAACCTAGTCTTTATAGTGTAATCTTGTTAATTTTTTTTACGTAAAAGCAATTCACTAATCCATATGCATGCATGACGCGACAAAACGAAATCAGCTGTGCGCCGTTTACTTGCTACCGTGGCCCGTGGGCGGAATAATATTTTAATTATCAAGTTCTTCCAAAAACTATGGCCTTCAAGACCTCAGAGAGATAAAAACGCTGAAAGTTACTCTTTGCTGTTTTTTCGTGACTGCTTCAATCTATGTCTATCCGTACGTTGTGACCGTCCAAGGCAACACATAATTTACAATTGTCGGTGAATATTTATTTTCAATTTTAAATTGTTCAGCGAATATATTTTTTTGTGATACTAAGGTCACAAATAACGATTTTTTTATTGTAAGTTAAGTTAACAATATTTCTATCATGGTTATGAACTTACTTCAATTTAGATATGACTCGGACCTAGAGATGAAGTGTTTGAAATGATCTTGTCTTGTTTAGACGTGATCATTTTAGTTTAAAAGAGGTTGATGCTGTTAAGACGAGAAATGTCTTCCGGTTTAACTTACATAGACACTCGCTTCCTGCCAAAAGCCCGATTCCCATTTGTGTAGTTTACTCGCTTCCTGCCATAAGCCCGATTCCCATTTGTGTAGTTCTGCGGGGGACGCAGTATAGACCCCTACATAGCCCTTGCCCACAATTCAATATCTATTCATTTCCGCTCGTAATCACGCTAGAGGGCATATTAGCCTGTGTGATTAAGTGCCTAAAGCAATAGGTGTCATTTCCTTTCCTGGATATGAATCAATCAGCCAACTGACATCAAGCCACCGAAGCGACAGCCGTGGGCAAATAGCCAAACTATTGCGTGCTTGTATTAAACACAGCCTGGCGTATTCGCGGCTTTTGAAAATAAGCGCCCGACATAACAGCGCCGTTACGTCACAGCCACTGCTTCATTGCGCTCTACTCCACAGGCTAAAGCGCAAACCGCCGTCCCGATCAGCAATGCGCCTCGCGCGATGGAGGGACCTAACCTAACTTAACCCAACCAAACCTAACCTAACCTGGCGCACAACTGATCAGCAATTGAAGAAAGCCTTATGGCTGCGAAGGGGGAGAGCCGGGGCATGGCGTTATAGGGACGGCGGTTTGCGCTTCTGCCCGTGGAGTGCGGCGGGATTACGCTAGTCCTGCAATCAGCAGAGCAGGTTTACGGTGATCCGGCGTGGTCTGCGGCCAGTAAGGCTTACGGCGTGTGTAAGAAGTGATGGTATGGGGTAAAATTCTGTGGAGTAGGACCTGTTGACAATTGACTATTTTATTCAGCAGGCTGTGGAGTTAGGTAGGTGTTGCTTAAAGTTGGTGTAGGGAGATGACTCAGTTACCTACAGCTTTTTGGGTGTGAGCCGAGTTTATTTTTTGCATTATAGGGTAGGCGTTGACGCCAGGGCTTGTTTACGAGCTAAATTTGTGGTGCAGGGCTGCGCTCCCGTTCTGCGGCATCTCGACTTGTAATTTGTTTCGTCGATCAGATCACAGGTTGCAATGCTAGGAGCAAGTCTGTATCGTGTCGTACTCCATTACTCTAGGTCGTAGTGCACTAACACTATTAAACGTTCAACTCGGACTCCCTTCAGTTTTTCTCGTCTATGGAACTATACATGAAAATTCTTATTGAAGTATACGGTAATGCAAATCTGAATACGATTTTCCTTTAACGTATGACAGCAAAACGTTAGGAAATCTTTATCTTGTGAACCTAATTTTCCGATTATTATGCGTGTTTACTAATTTTGGTACAAAAATATTCGTTTGCAATTATTATCTACTTGTTCAACAAAGTCGAATCAATTCATTCTCATTGATGAACTTTATTTTAATTTCGCGAGAATTTGCGGAGCTCGGTACGAAAAATCACGGAATGTTTCATACAACTTTCATTTAAATCGCGCAACTGTCATAACTGGAAGCAAAGTCATCTCTCAGGTAGCATAACATTTATTAATATATATTGCACGTAAAATATACACGAGAAGTTATATACTTACACTAAAGCGACGTGGAATGGGTAGGTAAATGAATAACGTTCTTGATGAATGATGACGCGTTATTGGTGGTGATAACGAGTTTCCTGTTGTGGTAGAATGTTTAGTCTTCAGAAGCAAATATAAGCCTCATTGGGCTGCGTGCTAATGAGAAAAAATGAAATACTCAAGAAAACTTCTAGTGCCTAAATATTCTGTCTTTGATCATAGGAACATTTGTTACCATGTAAATATAACAACCGCAGTTAAGCGGCAACACACTAGATTTATACTAATCGACAATAGCATACCTGCAACAAACACAAATAGAGACAAGCACATCAATAATAATAATAAAGATGGCGCATCCGCACCAAATACTAACGAGCCTTTCTTCCACAATACATTGCCAAAATTTGTCTGGAAATGCACACATCAAAATGTTTGTCGGTGCATGATGTTCTTGTCACGCAGCCCTAGTTCACTAGGTATAGCTGCTTCAGGTGAGAGGGGGCCTTAGCACGCTTGGCGTTTCTGGTGTTTCACAGAACCAACGTGAAGGTGACAATGCATGAAACAATTACCATAAACGGAAGCCACGTCTTCAGGAACGCCCAAAAACTGATAAAAAAAGAGATTCTTCGTTAATTGAGAAATGTTCAACAATATAATTAAGCTCGTGAACATAAAATAATTCCACATGTCAGTACGGTGGGTGTATCCGATTGCCTACAGCTTCTATATTCAAAATCTTACAACATTCCATTGATGAATCAATCACAAGATATCAGTGTGAAGGCAAATTTCACCTGACGTATCTGCTGTGGACAAGCATTAAGAAGCAAAGTTTGACCATATTCCAGTGCGATGAATTTTCATACAGCATCAGGTTGAGAGCCATAGCTACATGGGAGTGGCAGTTGTCACAGCACAGGTTATGCTGTCACGTTAAAAGATGTGCAATTTATAATATATTCAGAAATAATTCAATAAATGCCCAATATAAATAAATACATTCAAGTTGGTTTCAGGCATAAGTAGTGAAATCTGTTTATAGATCCACTCAGAGTATCCATCCTTATCACTTTTACAAGATCAAGGTATATCACAATTTACTCGGTGAACAATTCTTTTTGCAGTTGAATAACTAGCTGTTAGCTAACATGCATATAGTTTGTAGCTGACTATTTACAGCAATAATCAAGCATATTCTCAGGATTCTAAAATATTTGCACTCACCATTCTATTCCTGTACTCCTGGGATGCTGTGAAGAGCATCTTGTTGTATGCCTCCGGACCGCCTTGTGCTTTGTAGGGATCAAGCTGCCAGTACTTAGTAGGCCAACCAAATGCCATGTTGTCTTCACTCACATGGTAGGGACCAGCAAAATCATGAATAATGCCATCAGTGTCAGCAATCCCCATATGGCCAATGAATGGAAAAATCCACCTAAAAATAAACTTTGATTTTAAAGTTTGTTACATTAAAATGATATGGTTGGAAAAATTGATTTATGAAAATATATTTTGAACTTATGTCAGAATAACAAGGTTCAAAATGACAGGTAGATTGGTACCTATATGAACTCTCAAAAGAAGGAAGAATGATTTTTTGTAGGAAGTTAAATTATACTATTCCTTTCCAAGTACGGTATTCCTAATACAAGCTGAATTTATACTGATAACATTATAGAAAAAACTAGTTATGATTTCTGAAAAATGATCATAATATTGTAGTCAAAGGTATTATATAATTACGTCAACATTGGAAGAGGAGTCCAGACAATGCAGGCAGGAAAACGGTGAAGTTTAGGATTAAGCTTTGGCACGGAGTATTTATTTTGTCCCATCCTGTTGTCTGAGTTCTCTGCAGGAACACTTTCTGTAATATGACCTTCCTCCACACAGTTGTCAGCCATCAGTGTGCAAGAATATCCAAATTGTGCATGGAGAGTTTAGGTCTGCTGCTAGTTACTTAATGTTACTCATACTCTGAAATTATATGAAAATCAATAAATTAGTATTCAATATCAAGGTTCTTTCTCCAAATTGGGGCTTTTTTTAGGTATGTGCACAAAAATTTTTTTCCCTCTGATCTTAATGAAAATTATACGGCCGAAAAGAGGAAAATTTTCAGACGAATACCATATAAATATAAGTGCAATACAAATAAAAGTGAAAAAACAATTTTTTTTCCATTATTAAATTATATCTCAAAAATGGATAAATTTTTGGCACTTTTTTAAACAATACAATATCAAAGTTTAATTTTAGCTTAAAGTGATACCCTTTGCAAGTCCCAGCCAAGCATGTAGTCAATAGAAATTTCTCAAAAAATTTAAATTAAAATAATGCGGATTTATTGTTTTGTACAAATACTTTTTTCACCCCAAAAAGTGAACATGTTGCATTGTTTTTTGTTGCATTGAGATTTAATTTCTTTTGATAGTATTTTTGAATACTATGCGTCTCTATACATAATTTAAATCGCTTTTCCTGTTAAGTTTGTGTACTTACATACATTTAAATACGATTTTTCAAGTGTACGAATATTTATTTCCCCCCACTGTATGTGCAAACAAAAAAAACTCTTTCCTCTGATCTTAATGAAAATTAAACGGCTGAAAAGAGGAAAATTTTCAGACAAATACCATATAAATATAAGTGCAATATGTACAAATAAAAGTGAAGAAGCTATGTATTTTTTCCTTTATTAAAATATATCTCAAAAATGGATAAATTTTTGGCACTTTTTTTAAACAATACAATATTAAAGTTTAATTTTAGCATAAAGTGATACTACCCTTTGCAAATCCCAGCCAAGCATGTAGTCAATAGAAATTTCTCAAAAAACAAGATGGCATCATCTTAGTCCATGTATTTCTTGTTTGTTTCCAAACACACCTCAATCAAATGAAGCTACCAGTTCGACAGGACCTTTAAAATTAAATGCCTCCCATGCGCTGAAAACTGCCTGTCCACCAATTTGGTAGCATTGTTGTGATCTGCATGTGGTTTGTGCCCATACCTACTTTTTAAAATTATTATGTCTAATCAATATGTAAGCATAACAAAAAATAGGTACCTAAGCAAAAAAAATTTATCTGATTTTCATTGGAAATTGAGTAGAGACCAGCTGAATTACTCTGTCAACTTGCAGGTGTAATCCATAAAAATTACAAATTTACATGGAATACCTTGAAATTCAAGTAGCCAGATAAACAGCAAACTGCCAAGTAATTTAACATCCTGAGTAAGACTGTAAGAGTAACAATTTTATGTGTATAAATCTTGTTTCGACAAGCTCACTTACAAGAATTTAGAGAAGTATATAATTATACATAATACATACATGTTTTTTTAGTTGGCTATGAAAGACAATGAAATTTGCAAAATTTAACTAAAGCTTCAATGCTTCACTATGACTAATGTCTATCTATCTTTATATATATTATTATTAGATGGCAGGATTTACTTGTTTACACACGTGCAATTGGTGACCAGAGAATTTGTTGGTTTATATTATCAGGGAGTGGAACTTTTCTTCAGATGAAGATAGATAAAAAGGCAAGTTTCAGGAAGTAGTTTTTTTTATTAATGACATTTTGAATGCAACAAACATTCATTTTCAAGTTAGAAGAAGCATTAAACATTGAAATTTTGGTGGAAATAAGTACATAATATAAGTAAATAGTATACAACAGTAAAATTTTGGACCAAAAATTACTCAGAAACTTCTTTCAGAGTTCAGACAAATCCAGTAGTCAGAAAATAGATAGCTGGAGTCCAATCTGTAGAGATGAGTGGTTCAGCTGTCGCCGGTCAGTTGATGTCAGGCCACAGGCCACTGCTTGATCGCGATGCTGGTGAGCAGGGTTGGCGATTTTTTTTATTTCTTTAAAAAAATCAAAAAAATAAAAAATCGATGATTTTTTTGATTTTTTCACCTTTTTTGTCTTTTTTGAGGTGTTATTTTTTATGTTGTAATTAGCCTACTAACAATAACAGTATATGGATCATAATAGATGGCTAAAAAGGGCACTTATTGCCTCCAATAATGGCCAACAGGCCAAGGTGGTGTTTACCACATAGGGATTTTCGGGTAAACAATTATTGATNCTAGATGTGTATAAGAGACAGATATATAACAAATAGTCAAATAGTTAAGACTACTTATAGCCTTTTAAGAATTAGCTAAGCTGCTAGCTACGTACAATGTATTGCACTCTTGATGCCTCTGTACCAAAAAAATTCCATTTATTGGAACCTAATACACACTAAAGGCAACAAGATTATATACCAATTTGTCATTCATAGTACATATATACTAAACCTTGAATAACAATACCTCAATATAAATTAAAGACTGCTACTCAATATTTTTAAATATATGAAAAAATCAAAAAAATAAAAAAAATCAAAGAAATCATGATTTTTTTATAAAAAAATCAAGTGATTTAATCACTTGATTTAATCATTTTGATTTAATCATTGCCAACCCTGCTGGTGAGTAATGAGTATACCTTCAGCACAATGCAAGTGACGGTCTGGTTGTAAGCTTGTCTCGCGTGGTTTACCTGCCCTCCAGTTTGAACTTGAAGCAAAGGTAGGTAGGTAGCTAACGAGACAGCAGCTCGGTGTCTTGATTGTTAGTCCATTGTCTTTCTTGAGAACTCTGAAAGAAGTTTCCGAGTAATTTTTGGTCCAAAATTTTACTGCTGTATCCTATTTACTTATATTTTGTACTTATTTCCACCAAAATTGCAATGTTTAATACTTCTTCTAACTTGAAAATGAATGTTTGTTGCATTCAAAACGTCGTTAATAAAGAAAGACTTCTCCCTGAAACTTGCCTTTTTATCTACCTTCATCTGAAGAAAAGTTCCACTCCCTGATAATATAAACCAACGAATTCTCTGGTCATCAATTGCACGTGTGTAAACAAGTAAATCCTGCCATCTAATAATAATATTTATATATTATTATATATACAACAGGGAGAGCAGCTACTTAATTTTTTTTTTAAATACAGGTTACATCAGGGCAACCACTCCACATTGCACTCATGATTGCAGCAAATATTGCTGCAGGTATGAAAATATCTGACGTCTGACGACGTTGTTGGTTGGTGATGCCTGCTTCTAGGGCTGCCTGGTGCCTGCAGCCCCTAAGGAAGCCCCAGTGCAATCACTGCACTCATGAATAGTGCTCTTGGTCCCTTAGACCAGTGAATCTGGTACAATATAATAATAATATAATATAATAATAGCGGTTTCAGCGTCATTAGCCTATTAGGCCGTAGGCCTGTCGCCGATTCTCAACATCGCAGAACATTCACAGCATTTTGCGGTCTCAAACTCGCAACTCACTGCTACAATTCTGCTATGCTTAACTGCCCGGCCTCCTTGCCGATTCTGACCAGAAACTGGCGCACATAGCTGGGATCAAACCTGCGCCTCTCTGCGTCAATCTTGGTACTCTGAACTTTAACCACTGGGCCACCCTAACTATGAATATAATAAGAAATGGGCCACCCAATATAATAAGGAATGAGCTATATTGTCCTCTACTTGACATACTGGGCAAACTCCAGTTACTGCCATTCCAAATCGTGCACGGTGAGCAGCTACACCAGATTCATTTTTTTTAATTTGATATGAAGACTTCGGGTATGCAGGTAGCACACCTCCCAGCCTGAGCACAACTCAGATTTTGATAACTCCACTTCACTTGTTGATTTCACTTTGTATTTCTCTTTCAGCACTTCCACCAACCAGTGTGGCAGTAAATAGTGAGGAGAAAAAGAAAAATAGTAATTAGACTTTGAGGAACTTCATAGCCTGGTCACCATATTGCAGCTGTGCAAATATTGACCCAGATGACGGATGGCAGCAGTGCATCTCCTCATTGGGGCGTCTCCACCGCCGAGAGCTGAGGAAAAATCCCACTGAAGTGAAAGGCCTTCTATTCTTGAGCAGAAATCCCTTCGTTGGTTGGAGAATTGTGTGCAGTGTAGAATGAAATGCTCAATTGTGTCCTCCACGTTGCATACTGAACAGGTACTTGAATTGGCCAAGTTGAATCTCGCCAAATGAGCATAGACGCCAGCATGTCCCAGGCGCAGGCGAGACACAGCGCACTCAACTGAGCGTGGCAGCACTCCATAGTCAACAAAGGCTATTTTATGTCCCAAACTTCTTCGAAAGGTCCCCTTGCCTGTTTCTTGCACATCAGCAGCCCATTGGCGTGTCCATTCTTGTACTGTGAGAGACTTCAAGGAACAGATCCACTCCTCGAAACACAGCCGAGATCTTGCTGAGCAGTTGTTTGAGTGTGCCAAATTTGCTTCTCTGTCTGCGACCTCATTTCCATGAATACCACTGTGGCATCTGACCCAGCAAAGCACCACCCAGTCAAGTCCCTTCACCAGCATCAACTTCTGTATCTCAAAGATAATTGTGCGATACGAGTGCCCAGATGAGTTGGATAAAAGCTGCAGAGCTGACCTTGAATCTGTCAGAATCAGGACAGACTCCTCCTTCAGAGATCCATTCTCAGTGCCAAGTTGCATGGCCATGTGTATAGCAAACAGCTCTGCACCGAGAACTGTGTGCTCTTGCTGGAGCAACCAGCCAGTCGCCAGCTGGGTTGAAGGAATGAAAAGTCCAGCGGAAACAGACCCATCTTCAGACTTTGACAGACTTTGAGCCATCAGTATAACTTTGGATATGTCTAGGATAGTGTCCCAGGAGAAAATCATTGCAGCAATTCTGAATAATTTGATGAGGCATATTATTTAAGGGATGGTCTTGCAAGTTGAGTAGAATGTTCGCAGTGAGATCCACTTGAGGAGGGATCAGACCCATCAGGGGAGTTGCAGTTCGCCGAGGGAGTGAGAGGCCCAGCATGCGAAAGCAATCTTGAGCTCTGTTGACAAATGGTGTGTCACGGTGAAGTCCCTGATCCGTGAGTCCCAGCATGGTTGGCACTTGGTCACCTTCAGGCATGTACAAATACCTTATAACCCATTTAATGAACAGA